ACACATACTGTGTGCTGGGATCTCTTACAAATTCTGGGATACAGCATAAGCAAAACGTATAAGATCCTATTCTTCATGGAGCTTAAATTATTCATGCATCACTCTGCATAATCCATAAATTCGATTTTTTACCTGTTATTGTCCTATTTAATTACAGATTACTTCAGATAAAATAATAATATACCTTTCTCTCTCATTTTTTCAGTGTCTTTTCTAAGCATCATATTATTTTATCTTCACAATAGCCTTGAGAGTTGGGGAGAAAATGTTACCCCAAAGTCACACACGTGTCAGGAGAAAGACCGAAGTTGGGACTCCAAGCTTTTAAACTGTTATCCATGACCTTTCTATTATACCACAGCTGTCTCTTATGAAAATCATGGCTGCACTTGTACAAAATATATGCAGAGCCAATGCAGATATGATAGTTTCTGTTTCCTTAGGAACAAATGGGATAGATTTGAATTCCCCAAATGGTCATCTAACAAATAGTTCATTTATTAACACTGTAATACAAATTAGAATCTAATAAGTAAATAAAACATTACTCTCAAAACATCAATTCCAATTAAATCTAGGTAGCATTAACTGCCACCTATATTAATATAAATGATCAGAGTTCTTTTTGCAAATTTCAAAACAATTTATGGGAATAGCACATCTTTCCCACCATAATAAACACTCACTGCATAGAAACTAGAAGATAGAAATTTTTTTAAAAAGATAGACGAGTTAAGACAGGATTGATCTGCAACCATTGCTTCTTGGGTTGCCAGACTTCTGTGAATGTATAATCAATCTGCAGAAGATAAAGAAGACAAAAGATATAGCTATAAAGCTATGGGGACCTCTGAAAAAGTGCACACAGTCTTAGTTATATTAAGGGAAATATTTTAAGATGCTGCGGCATTGTTAAAGGAAACATACTTGTATTTAGAAACCTGAGACACAGCATTCAAACCTGTTACCAGCACACCTCCTTCTCTTTCTCGTCCCTCCCAAACAGCTCTTTTTTCAGTACTTTCTATCTTTAATGTCAACTTCTTTAATCTCAGAACGCCAACAGACTTTTGAAACATTATTTTAGTAATCCTCTTAAGAGAGGATGCATGCGCCACTTATCTTTCGGAAATTCACAGGTTTTGTGAGTCACAGCTAGGAGGGAAGGATAGATAATTCTTTTGTACATCTGTAGCATCTGTCTACATTGGGACTTTCAAAAACTTTTCCAAATTATCTAATTATCCCTTTCACCATCTCTCGGAGGGACACAGGCAGGAGGTAATACTGATTCCGTTTCGTCAAGGAGTAGAGCTAATGATTTGTTCCACAATGAGGCAGCTTAGCCTGAAGCTGTATTCTCTAGAAACTTCTGTTCTGTTGGAAAGAGAAGACCTTGAGTGTCTTATAATAATATTTTATCTCTCTAATTAAAGGTAGTGGCACGTAGAATGGCTTCACAAATACCTCTAAGTAAATGCAATTTCATGTGAATCGCTCCTTCTCTTGGCCAGTTAGAGCAAGCTTCACAGTGCTTCCCAGGGTATGTTTCCTGGAACACCCATCTTGTGAGAACCTCCTGGGGAACCCATGGCCAGATAATTTTGGGAAACATTACCTCCCTTTTGACAAGTCAGAACACACGTTGGCATGACGAAGCCCTGCTGAGAGACCTGTTTTAACCTTAACACATGTACTCCATTGCTTATGTAATGGCTGTTAGCCCCTGAAAATAATATTTTGTGGAAAGCATTTAAGAAACATCAGCCCAAATGTTTTTTTTTTTCTTCAAATCTCCGTACTCAGAAACCAAAACTTCTAGAAAGACCAGACCATAAAATGATATAATTAGCTAATTCTTATCAAGCACCTACTTTCCCAGACACTGGCTTCTGTTTCCCTACCTTATGTATTTCATTTTCTCGTCAGAGTCTATCTATGTGGTAAACATTTTTATTCCCATTTGATAGAGCAGGCAACTAAGGAAGGCTCAGGGAAGATCCTTTGAATGTTAGCATGGAACCGCTTGTCCTCAGTCCCATTTGCCACCTATCTACATACTTGCCCTTGGTAAATGCAACCAGTTTCAGACCTTTAAATACCATCTTCAGGCCAATGATTCAAAACTACATCTCCAGCCCTGACCACTCTGTGGAGAACCTTGATGTACCGACTCTCATTTAACCTAAGCCACCGCTCCCCCAGCCTGCCTCTGCTACATTATCCCTTTTTTGTGTCTCCTCTTATTGCAAATATAAAACATTAAGGTACCCAGATCACCAGGAAAAAGGCTCATTGGTCTTTTCAGTGTAGACCTGGGCCTCAAGAGCCACAGAACTTTGTCTAACTATAATGCTACAAAAGCAAGCTCAGGAAAGCATCTGAGACAGTCCACATGTTCTGCATAATTCCTTTTGTCATCCACCATGTGAACTTCATGTTTTTATAATACATGTATCAAAGATAAAATTATAATTTTCACTTCGTAAATCATCTAAGTTATATGAAAGATTTGTGCTATTTACGATATATTCTCTGCATGAGAATCATACAAGGGTTTTTAATCATGTCCAAGTTGATTCTCCAGCCCCTTTTCCACTGTTCACTTTAGGTCTGTAAAATTCTGAAAAACAGCTCTCGATTCCTAGGCCTGACACTTCCTCCCTAAAGTCTCTCTTATGACAATTTCCTTTTCTAAGGGCTTAACAGAATCTGTGTTGAAGGACCTTCAAGATTCATATCTTGACAAGTTTTTATGAAGATTTCCCCTGGATTATGGGGTTAGTTGTTGTTTCCACAATAATTAGGAGTCACTGTGTTCTTCAGTTTGGATCATAGACCCAGCAATTTCTGCACCGAAGCCATCTTCAAAATCCAAATCTAATATAAAAATAACAGAAAGTTACTATGCTAAATCAACTAAGGCATATTCTGTTATAATTAAAACCCTCCTAAAACAATCAAACAAGTGGTAAAGTTTTCCATTATGATAAAATATCCTCTAGAACAATAATGTTCTTTCAGGGCATTTCTCGTTCCTTTGATTTAACTTAAACCAGGGAGCCAGATTTTTCCAAAGGGCAAATTAAGAAGGTCTGTTAACTCTTTCAGTGCCCAGCTTCAAGAAATCTCGGCCAGGCCATCAATATTGTTTTGCTTTAGGCATTGCACTTTTTAAAAGTCAGCTGTCATATTCAAAGCAATCCAAACTAGCATGCTCAGCAGAACCCTGGAGCTTTGGAAACGCTAATGCCCTCCATCAGCCGTGACCTTGGCAGTGACCTTGCCACCAGGAAGGGATTTAGGCCCTAGGGAGGAAAGGGCCCACTATCGTTATCTCACTGGTTTATACCATCAACTTCTGAAATTGTGTGAGAGAAGAATAATCAATAGTGTGTTAAAACCAATCTCTAAGAATGCAAAGACAAAGTGCCTCCTGCTCTGCAAAATTCTGAGTTGTAGGAGAACTTTTGAATACAACAAAAGAGAAATTACCTGTAGTGGTAAAACTAAATGAATGGTATCTCAAGATGGAATTTGTCATTGGTAATGGCACTCAAGAGCTCTCTGTGTACTTCAGCAGAATCCCATAAAAAGCCTGATGAAAAATGCTTATTTCAGAGTTAAACAACACAGAATCAAATTACAAAACCAGAAGGAATGCATTCTAAACATACACATGTAAGTTAAGAATTAGCTGACATAAATAGTACCAAAAAAGTATACTGAAAAAAAGTATCTAAGAGTAGAACCATCTCCTGTGTAGAAATGGGAGAAACATCAAGTTAAACTTTATCAAAATTTCCTGAAAATCTTACTATATTTCCTGTAATTTTAGTAAAGGTATTATTTCTCAATAAATAGCAGAGTACAAAGCTTCTGCTAAAAACAGCAAAGAGATATCCCCACACCATCCTGAGTGAAAACGCTGTGGAAAAGAACTGGCAGTGTAGTCCCTAAGATCATTACAATTAAATGTTTGATTTCTCACAGCATTCTTAATTGTGACATGAACAGCTGTCAACAAGGAAATTAGAAGAAACTGTCATTATATGGACTTCATCAATATTTGCTTGTCCTATTTTCACACCACTGCTCAAGAGAATGTTTTCAAAGAATTCTTCCAGTAGAGATTTTCATTATTCAAAGGGGCATCACTGAAGTTTTTTCGGCATTATATGGTATACATAAAATATATTTGTCATGATAACAGGAATCCCAAATAGATATATATTGAATTCCAAATTCAAGTACATAAAAATATCTGGAACACAATTCCTTTGGTCCTGCGAACATCGTATGAAATAATTATTACATTCGTATTTTTAATACAAGAATCCCCCATATCCATGGGATATACTGTCTGAGACTCCCAATGGATGCCTAAAACTTCTGAAAGTATGAAATCCTATGCATACTATGTTTTTTCCTATACATTCCTACATTTTCACTTAAAGGAAGCACTTCGAGCTTTTCTTTATCATATCTGAATTGCCAGCATCACTACTTTTAGTGTGTTGGGGCCATTATTAAGTAAAATAAGGGTTAATTGAACACAAGGCCTGTGACCAATCATCAGTGGATCTGATAACCAAGTCGAAGACAGAGCCTCCCCTTGTTTGAACTCGGCCAGGAACACTCATATAGAGCAACTCTAAATTTTGTCACTCTATCCATATCTGCCAAAGTGCATGAGTATTGATTTTGGGCTTACAAATGAATTTTAGTGAGTAGGCAAACTCACAAATATGGCATCTGTGAATAATGAGGATTGATTGTACGTGTTGAAAATAGGAATCAGGGCACATACTCACTCCATGTCTGTCTGGGTAATTCTTTCTATTATATTAGTGAGATCTGTTTAAATCTCAAGCTCAGAGTTTATTGAAAGTAAGAGTTCCATAAAAAATGTCAAAGCCATTGTATTGCACACTTTGGCATCATAATCTTAGGAAGAAACTCAATGTGTAACTTTCTTAACTTTTCAATGTTTCTTCCAGGTCTTTCAGGGATGCGGTCAACCCAAACCTGCACCAGCCCTCAGATCCGCCCGCTCAGCTCCTGAAAATTTTAATACACGGTTCAGGCCTTACAATCCTGAGGAAAGACCAACAACCGCTGCAGGCACGAGCTTGGACCGGCTGGTGAGTTCTCTCAGATTGATGGCCATCGTGGCTGCTTTCTGTTACCAAGGTTATTCTTCAGAAGATGTGATGGGAAAAAGTCATCTTACTCTTATATCTGCTCCTGGTCTTAATTAGAATATTGAAAAGTAATGAGATCTTCCTTTTAGGTCAAGAATTAGATTATTTAAGAATTCTTATCACCATTAATCCACTCATGCAGTGGCCAAATTTTCAACTTCATATTTCTTCTGAAATATTAATTTGAAGATTAAGTTACTATATCTTCCAGAGATATAATTATACAATAACACATTTCTTATTTATCTGCCAAAGTTATTTATTCAGTTATTATACAGTGTAACTTTATTGTGAATTCTCCTTATATGTAAAGTTGTCTGTTTGAAACACCTGGCCAGGAAACCTCAGATGAATATTACTATTATTTTTTTCTTTTTTATATGTCTTTAAAAAGTTAGAATCTTTAGATATATTCACTCTTTGATCTATTTAAATGTGTGTCAGGGAACCGAATGATATCTATCATCAAAATAATTTACTTGGAGAATACAACCATGAACATAGTAAACACAATTTTTAATGTGTTTTTTAAAGTCAAATTTTGCTATAAATAATGAAAATCTCATAATTTCATAGAAATATTGCCCAGTTATTTTCAATGCAATTTGTACTATTTATAGTACTATAAACAGCTTATATACCTGTAATTGTAAGTGCTATTAATGCTTTGCCAATTATCTTGATGTAAAATTAGCAGATAAGAACCTTAAGGTCATAAAACATTTGAACCACATCTGAATATGTCATATAAACTCAGATCTCAAGGGTTTCTAGTTACAAAAATACTTTTGTAGTCACCGTAATAAATTACTTTATCATTTTAGTTAATGTCTTTCTAAAGTGTAGAACTCATAAGATTAAATTGGTTGAGTTTGGCCTCAACTTAAGGATATATCAGCAATTTTCTCTATAAAAATCAGAAGTACTGACAGCATAAAGGCCTATCCACATAGTGCCAAGGTAAAGGGGTAAATGGCATTGTTAACCACTAAGTTATTAAATATATTATATAAATATATGAATTTATTATATAAATAAATTATATAAATTTATTACAGTTTATTAGCAAATAATTCCCCTTCTTTAGTGTAGGTTTTTAAAAAGAATTATCTGGATAATTGCTTCAACTTTTTATTTTACCTTGGTTATGTTTATTCTCTATTCAGAGTTTCAGGAAAAATTTAAAATTAGTCACCCCTGTTTTTTCTTAAAAAATGCAACCAATTAGATTTTTCCAAACAACTAGCTAGTTGTTTTAAAGAAATGATGGTTTCATAAGATTATGTTGTTTGGGATTTTACTTTATAAATTCCATTATATATCTGGAAACTTTTAACCAGAAGCACAAATGGTAAGTATGAGTTTGATCTCACTCTCTTTCTCTTTCTCTCTCTACTATTTTACTTGGCTCTAAAGTAAGTTATTAGAACAATTCAGATTTTCAGAATTGTTTATAAACTCTCATTTAAGAACTAAGACACAATTAAGGTCAATAAATTCTGAAGATCTGTGCAACATTGTGCCTGTAGATAACAATACCATATTGTGGGCTTAAAAATCTGTTAAGAAGGTAGATCTCATGATAAGTGTTCTTATCACAATAAAATAAAATTTAAAAACAATTCAGATACATTATACACTAAAATTACATTGAATTTGAACAATATAATGGTATCTATGACTACTAATTAATTTTTTCCCTTTGAAACAGAAGCACAGTTTTCTCTCCTTCCCAGGAGAAATGAATACACACACACACACTCACGCTCATGCTCATACTCACAAACAGAAGTAGAGCAAGGAAAGTATTTTTCTCAAGACAACAGTATTTATTGCAATTTAGCACAACCTAAGTAAAGCATGGACACATTGAGAATGTCGCATGATGTTTAAAATCTGATCCAAAAGTTGAAATTTGAAACTTTTATAAAGGAACTTCATTGGTGATCTTCAAAATTCCCCAAATATAAAGGTCTTCAAGTGTATTGGCAAGTAGTAAACTAATTTAAGCTTTTCTATTTTGAGCACCCCCCCCAAAATCTTAATCAACTTTTTCTAAAAACAATTAATAATGGTTAATCATATAAACAAGGACCAGACTCAGTATATAAAGGCTGGATTCAGCATAGGAATTTAAATCAATAAGCCAATTTTATTCTAAAATGTTATTTGACAGCATATAGTACTTCCTTATAGGTGTGGCTCTAGGCTCTCTGAGGGAAAATGTCAGTTTTATTAATTTTTAATTGAATTGTATTCTGATTCCTTCCTAAATTGTAAGAATTAGTGATTTGTAATTCACAACCAGCCATAAACCTACCTGGAGCTACTTTCCCAGCACCTAAGAGCAAGGGGCTATTTCCACATTAAAAAGAGCCATACAAGGTTATTCTTGAGAAACACTAGTGAGACCGAAGCTAACATCAGGATCTCTGTTCGCAGCCGTTGGCTCCCACAAAGCTTTTACTCCCTTTGCAGATTCAACATAGATCTGAATAGTGGAAAGGTGAGGGAGTTGCCTTGGCCAGACTGTGCTGTGCAACAGTCAGACAAAATCCTCTTCAAGATAAATGCATTGGTGAACTCTCCCGATGGGTCTGCTATACATTACATACAGCCTTTTTGACTGTTTATAAACAAGTCTCATGTTACCTACTCCTGTTTAAATTTTCCCCTAAAAAGATGTTTCTTGAATATTTATAAGAAACACATGTCTGAGAAAAGGAGAATAACTGGAAAAAACTTCCCCTAACTTTCCTGAGTGTTTCAGCAGAGAAAGTTCTTAAAAGGACAGCATCAAAAGAATCTTCCAATCACCCACCCCTTTCACAACAGTTGAAAATAACTATAAAGCTCTCAGAGAATTGCTTCTTGCGACCATTTAAAATTAGTACCAGTGGTGTTAACTTTGGGATCTGTTGGTAACTATTCTTATATCAGTTATCATAAAACTATTTTATATGAACTGGTGATTGTGGGGTTTTAAAAATAAAGCCCCTAACACCAAACTGGGTAAACTGCTGCTAAAACTTGTATAAAATAATTGAAAACAAAACAAAATGCTCTCTTAATAATACATTGATTCCGTCATTTAACCTCTATTATATTCATAAGGAACGTGTACATCCTTTTATGTCACTAGGAAACACTTTCATTTGTTTCTGTGTGGTGGAGGTTAGCGTTCCATTCCGCTAATGTTATATGGACATAAAAAAGCAGTTTAGGTAGTTAGAAGCTTTCAGACGTGCTACCCAAAAGTTATTTTTATTATTCAATAATGAATGAATATATTTATATAAATTCAGCTGCTGATGGAAAGCTGACTCAGCTCTTTCTGCCAGCAGCCATGATTTGTTAACTAATTTGGTTAACAGTCTGGTGCCACCATCATGGTGTCTCCTTGTACCAACACTCAACCTAGCAGAACTTCTGTCACAGCCCAGAGGTGACTATTAGCATAAAGGAAGAGATTGGTTCTCTTCCTTTTTTTTTTTTTTTAACGATATAATCAAAGTAATTTGATTAAAACTATAACTTTTTAAAGAAAGTTCCACTGGAACATCACTGGAAGTACAGAATGTAAAAATAGATCAACACAAAAATAGCTCAATTTTTTAAGCATACAGTGGTATTTCAGATTATCCTTTGTAAAATGCAATTAGTTGTACAGCTCAGAAAATTAGAGCACAACATGCTATATGGCTCCTGAACACACTTGGGCAGGGAATGTCTGTTACTTACTGCAGCTGATTCATTAGAGCAAAATGTACTTAAAATTGTGTATCTTAGAGGAATATATTTTATAAAAGTAGATTAAAAAAACAAAAATAAACAGACTTGGAAATTAATTTAGCAAGTTAGTGATGATTTAGACCATTGAATCTCCATTAAGTACTCAACATTGTACTGTGTGTGCAGACTTCTTAAATATTTACTGGTCGTTCTGAGGGAGTTTGGGGTGGGGGTGGGTGGAATGCTGGCCTACAAAGCTAAACGTTATACCTGTGCTGTGCTATTATGTATAGAATAATCTCTCTTTCTTTTTCCTTTAAATTTGTTTTCCTCTTGCTTTCCAGAGGATTGTGTGGAGGACAATGCAACATAGTGTAAGCTTTGGTCTTATTCTTTCTCTCATCCTCATTTGTCTTTGTAGTCATTTGGAAAGTCCCTGGGAAATTCCACTTCCACCCCCCCACCCCACCCCTTTCCAAAGTATCTAGAGAGCCAATTGAACATGGTGCATGACCAATGGGTTTAGTAACCTCCTCTCTACTTGCTTTATGACTAACAACAATTTGGTATTCTTTCCCAATGGCAAGGTTTCATAATCTAAGCTTTGTGTAAAAATATCTCGTTTGGTGGCTGATTTAAATTCTATCGCAATATTCAGACTGTGTGTAGTCTGCCTGAAAAACTAGCTCTACTCTGATAGAATATATTGGCTTTTTCTTCTTGTACTGAGTGAATAATTACCTAGCTGATAATAAAAGCAAACATTAGCTCTCGTGTCTAAGGAGTTAATTTTTCCATAAGCTCAGACATAGAGAATTGAGGGGGTTAAGAAATGGTTTGTGGTATAGGTTGTTTACTTTTTTCCTTACCTGAATTTATTGATATCTTTTAGAGCATTTAGGGAGGGAGCATTGGACATTTTTCCACTACAAAATTGGTTTGTACTGGGGCTGAAGATAAGAATGCCAAGGTTCTCTTACCTGACTTTATATATTAACCATAATAATCATATAGTTAAGTTATCTAATCTGGTTTTTCATAATACCATTCCATGCTGGTAATAGCCCATAGTAAAGACCTACAGAGCATTGTGCAGCCAGAGAGAAGGTGACACTCACCAGATGGGCACATATTTATTCATGCAGCCCACATGTAACGTCATGGTGCTACATGTCTGCCTGGCCTTAAATTCAGGCCATGGTAACATT